GGTAACTCCAGTGTGTATCTACTAGCGATGGGAAGCCATACTCTAGCCCTGACTAACTACGATTAAAGCTGGGCGGCTTACAACCTCCTTTCCCTTCCCCTCCCCACAACAGGCACCCTGTGAGGTAGGTGGGGGCTGAGAGAGCTCTCTCGAGAACTGCTCATGAGAGAACAGCTCTGAGAGAACGTGTGAGTGACCCAAGGTCACACCAGCAGCTGCAAGTGGAGGCGTGGGGAGTCGAACCCGGCTCTCCCAGATTACAGCCCGCGCTCCTAACCACTACACCAAACTAGGGATGCCAGCCTCCAGGTGGGAATCCGGGGATCCCTTGGAATTACATTTCATCTCTAGACTAGAGAGATAGGTTCCCTTGGAGAAAATGGCTGCTTTGGAGGGTGGACTCTGTGGCATTGTACCCCACTGAGGTCCCTGTCCCTCCCAAGGCTCCACCCCCAAATCTCCAGGACTTTCTCAACCAGGAGCTGGCAACCCACCACCACCACCCGCTGATGGCCATGAAAGATCTGGCTCTCCTAGTGTAAAAAGTACTTAGCAAGTACATCCCTCCAACAAGCCTCTAGTTTTTCTTCTAGCTTTGCAACAGATCAGCAGCAGAAACCCAGTCCGGTCTTTTTCAATATCTGTCCTATTAAGGCAGATTGACCCTTGTGCTTAAATTTATAACCCAAGGTGGGATTGGCCGGAAGTATAACTGCACCGCATAATTATCGGCTTCGATTTGACGGCCTTGAGAAGCAGGTGGGGAGACTGTACGGCTTTTCCCACCTGTTAATATTTCACAGATGATTTCGCCCTGCCCTCAATTACTTCTGTGTCGTTTTAAAAAACAAGTCAGCAGAAGGCTCTCTTGCTCCGCGTTTTTCTCCACACTCCTCCACTGGTTTCCATCTTACCCACTTCCACCAGCAAAAAACCAAGCTGACCAGACAATCCGTCACTTTAGATTTGCATTCGTGCCCCTGTTACGGGAAGAAATCGGCCCAGCGACCCTCCCAAGCCAGGTCTTTTGAACGCCAGAGATTCGATGCACTGAGCCGGAAACCTCTTTCATAAAAACGCTTCCATCTGTGCCAAGGATAACCCGTGTGTCCCCCAAAGCGCGGAGGGTTTTGCCGTGCTTCCATCCCCAAAGGATTTCCTCCTAGCAGTGCGCAAAAAAGGCAAAAGGTCTCCCCATTAACACTCTGCTCACATCCCCTCTTCTGTAAAGGAACTTCTGCCAGCCCGAAAACTACGGGAAACTTTAATAAGTACATTCGCAAGCCGGGATCGCTTCCAAGTGCACTCACCTCGGAGGGGGGTATATTCCGCAGAGAAGCTCAGCTCTTCAATGGTTATTTTCGTCCGATGTGTGCCTTGGGTTCCGATGACCTTTTCTCGCGACACTCCTGTCACCGAATGGAAGCGGTGTCCCGAATGTCGAAAAGGATCCAAGAAGGGCTGGGGGGTTAGCTCCTCCCCCAGTGGGAGGGGCCTCCGCCATCTGTGGTTTTCTTCTTTCCTTTTCGGAAAAAAAAAGCAACAACCAACTAAATTAAGTCCAGGAAAGGCTTGGAAAGATTGAAGCGTAATCCAGACGTAGGAAGCGGCTCGCCATATGTCTTGTGGGGAAAGACAGAGGAGGGGAAGGGGGGGAATTGGATTTAGTTCTCTGCGTACACCCCCACGAAACAGAGGGAATTTGACATTCAAGAATCTGCCGATCTGCTATATGAAGTGTCTGCCCTTGGAACATGTCACGACGGAGAGTAGGGGAAAGTGATCGTTTTGTTTTTAAAAAATTGGATTTGTTCTTGCATCGCTTTGTCCTGCTCTGGTTGGGATCTCCGTGTGTTCTCTCTCTCTCTGGTTTTGAAGCCCTTCAAAAGGAGAGATCCGGAGCAGACAGAGGCCTTTGTCGGGTAAAAAGAAAAAGTAAATCAGATTAGGGGGGGGAGGCTCCGTAGGACGGAGAGGGCCGAGTAGGAAAAGAGAGGGGTCAGCCACACAAAAGGAAGTTTGTTTGCCGCTGCACAACACACACACACACACACACACCGCCCGGGATGTTCTTGGATGTGAATTTGGGCCTGGCTTTCAATTTCGTCTCTTCCTTTTCGCGAGGTGCCCCTTTTAGAAAGCTATGCGGCTCACCCCTCGGCGGCATGAGAAACGCAAGAAACTCGATCCTCGTGGCTGTAATGTGTTTTTTAAAAACTGGCCAGACGGCCCTGCTGTCACCTCTGCTCTGCGGCTCGGGAAATGGGTGGGAGCAGGGGTGAGGATCGGCCCCGAAGACTGTCCTGAATAGTCGGCCTCAGGGCAAGCAGGGTTACCAGCAGCCTAGGCCTTTCCAGGCCTCAGCAGAATTGTCTCCCCTCTTGGCCTCTTGCCGAATTGCAAAGCAGGAGGGGGGGGGGAATATCCCCGGCTGGCTGAGCCGTGCAGATTGTCGGGGCCACTTTGCCAGCATGCCCGCTAAAGCATCATGCGGGGCGGAGAGCTGCAGCTATAGTGTAGTCTGCGTCCACGTGGCGTGCGCTGGGAAAGCATGGGAGGCAGGGGTGACAGGTGACAGCCGGGTACCCCCAGGAGGAGCAGTTTACAATCTCCATCCCCTTCTGCTTCCCACAACAGACACCC